ATCTCTAGAATTTCGAGTTCATTTGAGTTGTAGAAGACGGAATTCAGTCTGAAAAACAATCACATTAGACTTTAATCGTACTAAAACATATAAATGTTTTGCAGATTGTATTTTTTAAGAGAAATTTTCTATGATCTTTTTCATTCTGTGTGTTCAATTACTCTCTAGTAATCGAGTGAGCAAAACGAAATCATTGCTCACTGAAAGTGTTTTCTAAATTAGTGATCAGTGAATTGTTGTAAAGCGGTGGCGAAATGCCATAGGGCCGGCAGTTTTATCAGTTTCCTGGTGATCCTTGCTTTTCGAATATTTTATGTCTTTATTTGATGTCACGAAAATGAACTAGTGATTCTAACGTATATTCTGACCGAAACATATGGAGCCTGTATATGTCGGTAAACAACCGTATTTTGTCGGTTTCCATAACTTAATATTAACATCGTATATTTTCGTGACCATGATGGAATAATGTGAAACTAACGAAAATCATCTACGAAGACAGAAAGGAAACGTTTTTTTTTTCATAAATCGTCGCATTTCTTTGTATACATCACAGAGACATACAATCATCTTACTCGGCCGCGTAAATCACCGTATCTCTTCGAGCAAGATAATTCACAACCGTGTTTGTTTAACATGAATGCTTGAAAGTTTCCCAAAAAACATTGTCTCTCAAAGTCTTCTGGCCAAGGCAAGACATTGATAGATTGAATTTCTAACTAACGATAACTCTCTTTTCTGAATAATGTCAAGATGTATCGAAAGTTTGAAAAATAATCATCATCAGCACAGTCTCACTAATATTTACTGTCATCTGTAATAGATTTTCATTAGTTATCGAACTTTTCAATTCAGAACAAAAAAACGAACTATTTATGGAAATACTTTTCAATCATCTATCTATCTTTTATTTTAATTACATCTTATATGAACACATTCCATATAAAATCCTGCATCAACCATTTTTTGTAACTTACATTTAATGTTTCAATAACTTCAATAGTACTTCTTGAACGTTCATATTCATCTCCACTAGTAGATTTCACATTCTCTTCTCTCTCAGATGTCTGGTAACGTTGTTCATTATTACCTCGTTCTATTTAAAAAAAAACTCTTCATCTATCATCATCATCATCACATCGTCCTACCTGCAATTTCTCGTTCAGTTCTTGCTTCCAATAATACTACAAAATAAAATCTCTTTCCAAGGAACAACAAAACAATATTTTAAACATACATAAATGTTCCAGAGCTAAATGATCACTAAAGAAAATCTCAATAAAATTCTATTAAACAACAAAATAAAAAACGCAACTTACTAAATATCTGAATGTTTACACATAATACGAAAAGCAACAAAATAAATTAACAGAAATAAACCAATTGTGGCAAATATTGTAATATAAAGAAAATTATCTAAAAAGATTTTATTGAAATTAGATGAAAATAATCTTTTATTTCATACAATTTGCTGGCAGATAAAATATAACTGTTGCATTTTTACGTCGTTGAACATCAACAATACCTGTCAGTTGAATAATTATTTGTTCTTGATCATTCAAATACTCTGCATCAGTTGGTTTAACAAGAAAAACTAAAAGAAATGTATTTCATTTTGGAAATTCACTCTCTTAAATAAAGAAAAATGATTCATGCAAAAAGAAAAATTCATTTTCTTTTAATTTACATAAACATTAAATGAAGCAATAGATGGCATTATTTGATAATGTCCTTGTCGTACTCCAATTTCACTCACATCATAAACGGGACAATTAAAGGATTGTACATATACAATAGTACATAATTGATCATTTGATCGAACCTCAATAAAAACATTTTCAATATCAGGTGGAAAAGTAAATTTATTACAAATTGATATAGAAGGTGAAACAAAAAATTGTCGACTAACACCCGTTCTAGATTTTAAGCATGAAAAAAATTAGTTAAATAAAAGATTTTTTTTTGTTATCCACTTACTCAAGTAAAAATTGAGTGATATTTTCCAATTGAAATGAATAATTAATCAAAATTACTCTAAGTGGCAAATCTATTGTGATGGGGACCCCAAAAGAAAAAAGAACTCCACATCGATACAAACGTCAACGAAGCCCAATCAATATCTCAATGGCCAAGACTTGACAGGAGAGAAACTTAGGACTGATCTTCGAACAATGCATTACTCGTCAGAAGAACATAAAAAATAAACAATAATAGAAAATTTTTATATTGAATCGAGCCTGCTCAAGCCTTAATCTGCCCTCATTTGAGCCTACCCAAGCCTTAATCTATCCTGTTTTGAGCCTACCTTTCGGAAACCTGAAGTAGGCTCAAAACTACCCAAGTCTAATAGCATCGCCGCCTATACATCCGTAACGATATCTGAATGAAGCTAATTTATGAAAAAGAATAACGCTCACAAACTTTTTCTGAGTTTTTTCGCGGAAAAACCATACTGAAAATTTTACTTTTATATTGCACTAGGCATACCAACATCTGAATGAAAATAATTTACAGAAAGCGAGTTATGCTCATAAAGTTTTATAGGTTCTTCTTTAGAAAAATATATAACAAATATTTCCATCAACTGGAATAGCCGTGCACATACATATTTCAATGAAAATAATGTCTCAAAAATGGATTATCCTTATAAACTTTTAATGCGTTGTTTATTCAAAGAACATGTGAGAAAATTTTCTATCACTTGGAATAGCCCTCCCTATATGTCAATGAAAATGACACATTCAAATGAAGTATGCTCGTAAATTTTAAAGGGGTTTTTCTGTGAAACAACACGCTAAAAATTTTTCTGTCAAGTGAAATAATTCACCCGATATATGAATGAAAATAATTCGTCAAAATAAATTATATTCATAAACTTTTCATGCTTTTTTTTTCAGAAAGCATACTACAAACTTTTCTCTCAACTGGAATAGGCGTACCTATATCTCAATGAAAATAATTCATGAAAATAAATTATTCTCATGAACTTTTCATGGATTTCTTCTACCACAAATATATCAGAAATTTCTTTTTTCAATTCGAATAGCCGTACCCCTTTGTGAAGGAAAATAATTCATCAAAATGAGATATGCCCAAGGGAGAAACAGCTGATTTTTTTGATTTAAATCAGAAAGAAAATTTTAAAAAAATCAGAAAACTCAAATGTAACCAATAAATTTTTCATTTCTATTGTTCAAAATCAAAATTTAATAATAATAACAGTTCTTGTTTCTAATGGAATTGTTATCGATTTGTTGTTGATCAATTTAATAAACATACAAACCAAATAAATCTATTATTGTTATTTATTTTAAATTTTCAATTAAAAAAAAACGATTATTATAATAGAAATTGTTCATATTGTTATATTTAATCGATAAATAATTTAAATGAATCAATACGTATTGGTTAAATTAAATCAATTAATTCATTTAATTAATATTTTTCATGTATATTCATCGGTGACTGTCGAACCATTTAACATTTTTAATTATAACACAATATAATAATGATTGTTGATTATTTTTAATAGTACCACATTTTTTTTTGAATGAAGACAATTTTTAAATAGATAATGAAAATGTTGAATAGCTGATTTATAATTATGTTTGAGTAAAATATGTGTTACTAATAAAATAACGATATGTGAAGAGATACAGATGAAAATCGATGTTATTGTTGAGTATATTCTTCTTGTATATATTCTTGTATTGGATGATCACCTAGAAAACACGAAACAGAAATCGTTTTATTCTTAAGAAGATTAATAATTAGACAAAAAAAAAACAAAATGAGGAAATAGACAATTCTAATAAGGTTTATTCTCAATTCGTTTGTTGACTAGAAATATAGACAAAAAAAATTTTCATAGACTAGCTTGTTTGTTAGTAAAGTGGTCTCAATTTATATCATATATTCTTCTCAATTGTCTTCTCAGCATATACTCTCAAGTCGATTGAGAAACGATACATAACAGAAAAGGAGGCCGTCATAGAAAATAAACAAGCGAAATCTCTACTTATTTTTTTCTAGAGACTTTGATTAGAATTATAAATTAAAATAACATTATTACGAATAATGTAGAATCGATGAAATAACTTTTTTAATTTGTTTGATTTCTTTTTTTCAATAATAAACAATTCTCACAAAGAAGGATAACATATGTATCGATTAGACACTCTATTTACCTTACCCAAATAAACTAAAAAGAACATAATAGATAACGTTAGGAACTCGGTTTTTTTTTCTTTCTTAGCACATATTGCAGATAGAAACATTATCCAAGGACATTATTTTAGAAATAATATTAATATAATATTTTATTTAAATAAATCAAATACAAAATATACTTTTGATCGATCAAGTCGTTCTTCTCATGCTCGAAATACATCTGTACCTGAATCATCATGTTTTTCATTATAACTTTGTAAATTATATTTATCAATTTTTGTATATAAATTCCATTGACCAACATTGGTTTCATCAACATGTTGGCATGTATGTGAACATGAATGTTGCATAATTTATCTGAATACAATAAAGAAAAATAATTCCTTTTTTTTTTCTTGTTATATTTTCTATGGAACGATTTATTTTATATCATCAAGAAAAGAAATTACATAATGCACAAATGAACAAAAACACAACAACAACATTATTCTATGTACGTCCTTTATGTTTTTTTTTTTGATGAAGTAACATACTACTTTCATCTCGTCGTCGTTTAGTCATTGGATTTCTTGGATCATAAACAGTTAATAATTCAGCATTTGTATAAATATCTTGAACATTATCTAATAATTCTTGAGATACAAAAGTATGTTTTAAAAATGGTGTTTGAACTTATCAATACTTCGTCTATATTGAAATAAAAGTCTATGTTAAATTATCATATGATGCAGATTTTCGGAAACAAAACAGATAGCTCATGTGAATGCCAACATACATTAAAATGCTACTATATAAATCGAAATGTTCTAAAAAAAGTACAAAGACTCTTTTAGCTATTTCGAATGAACAATTTTCTTTTTTCTCAATTATACCTTATTCAGTGAAAAAGTGTCTTGATTTCGATTGATTGAAGTTATAGCAAAACCTTACCGATTGACTTTTCAGGAGTCTTATAATTTATGGCAACTCACCACACATAGACTTGTTGATTTGAATGATACTAAAAAATATGTCAGCTGTCGAAATATCTTCTGTCACTTGTACGAATGTATACATTGCAGTTGAGTTACAGTTAACGGGATCAAATACTGTTGCCAAACTGTATACATATTGGTTTATATCAAGATAGAGAATGCTACATGATTTTGTATTGCTGTACGGAGCTGGGATAATTTCATAAGACTTGAACTTATTGATTGCCACAATAGTAAAATGATCGTTGCCGGAAAGGCGCACACCATGAGCACCATCATCATCCATTTCATATTGGTATTGACAATCAACAAGCTTGAACAATGACAACATCATCCAAACAATAGGAATTGTAAATTGCATCATACAAAATTAATCTAAACAATTGAACATATTGTCATATGACAAAAAGATAATGATGATCTTTGTTTCACTTGTATTAGTCATTCGTTTTTATGCAGATATTCTAATCGATTATGACTAACTGTTGAAGAGAAATGATCATTGCGTCTTCATGACATATATCAACGATAAAACCGGTTGTTAATTATATTCTATCGATTTGATATATTTATAATGATGTATTGAACGCTTCGCTTGAACCTCTTCTCAGTCAATCATTTCTTGTAATATATCAGAAGATGTTACAAGATTTCGATTTCAAATAGTTCAACATTCAATTTGATTCGATAAGATTTCCACACCAAAAATTAAGAAAAGTAGTTTTTTGCATATTTTATCTCGGTTTTTTTTTTCAAATAATATTTTTGGCGTCAAGGCCTCCTTTTCTCATTAGTTAGCCTAAGTTTTCAACTAGAGAAAAGCAAGGACAAGAAACTGTTGTGTCACTTAGACAATAACAGGTACTGACTTTGAAGTAACAAAATGGTTGAGTTACACTGTAAAAAAAAGGTACCATACGTTATCCGAAAAGTTCTAACTTTTGCAATCAAACCAAAACCTTTTGAGATTTCGTGCAGAC